AAAAAATAATGTGTCAGAAGTCCATGTAATGATTGCAATGGTAAAACTGTCTATGGACCTTATGCTTGAGTGACTATTAGAAACATTGGCAGTGACAATGTCCCATATCCCGAATTCAAATATCATCCAGAAATGTCACACTGGGTGTATCCACTCCATTTTACTCCCAGGTGCTGTGTCAAAAATTCTCCCCATGTTAAACCACAAAATGTCAGGTTAAATCTACCCAGCCCTTTTGATACACAGCGGAACTTGTCCCAGATTCCCTCTCACACAGCACACCTTGGAGCTTCAACAGAAATGTCATGTTAAATGGCATGGAATGGATGGGTGGGCAGGGACTGCCCTTGTGGCACGAGATGAGCTGTGATACTCCCCAATACTCAACAGCTGATTCCATTCAAAACGGTGGCTTCCAAGAGGAGCATAAACATGTATTCTGTACCATTTTATCAGAGGCAATATTGTGCTATCTTTCATTAAGTACAATAAAAAAAATGATATGATACAGTGAGATTTGATGACATTTATACAGAATTGAGTCCCTGTAGGACTGGTTTGTTGAACGACTAGGCAACAGCACAATCTAACACAGCTTGGGAAGGATTGAATGGATTTTATCATTTATTTCTTTTGGTTATTAAGTGATTGGTAATGGGAAGGACCTAAACACATATTTTGAAACTGTAGAAGCTTAAGCATTTTGTTCTGGAGGCTTTAGAGGAGTAGAACTCTGGGTGTCCATGAGTTTTAGCATGTAGGTACAGACATAAATGATGGAAATTAGAGCATAATTTGCATAGTTGGTGAGAAAATAATTGCCAGAAAAGGTAACGGGTTTTAGAACTCAAGTTTAAATAATATACCTCAACAGATAAGTGAACATGCACGTGGACTGGTGACAAAAAAAGAACAGTCAAACACATCTAAATACTTAGGGACAAGTCTTTCCTATTTGTCTGGTGTAGTTATCACAAAGTGCTGTTGCTGCAGAACATGAGAAATGTTAGTCCCACAGTTCCAGAGGATCAGCAACACTTGACTTCCAATAAATGTCATTACCCCGTTTCACTTTGTTTAAGTACCTACAACAGAACAAAGCAATGGATGCTCTCCCCTGCAGGCCTGCTAAATTTAGTAGTGCTTGGTTTTGACATTTTAGAGAAAGGCAAGGGAACGACCCACAGTGGAGCTTGTGAAATTGGCTTGCTCCCTCTCTGCAACATGGGGTAACCTTCAGAGATATGTTGCACATTGTTAATGGAGAGGGATTAGGACTCTAATGGCTTTATCACCTGATGATGTTGGTTGCGGCATGTAGGAAGGGATCTAATTAAGCTGAGTACTCCATCTTTTACATGAGTTGGTAGTCAGGATTTCAAATAACGTTTTCTTTTTTTTCAGATTTAGGAATTTTAATGGTAGGCATTGTAAAATTTTGGTACCAAAAGTTAAAATCCTCTGAATTGAAAATTTTTCAGTCAGACTGACATTTGCTAACTATATATAACTAATATTCACCATGAATGCCAGCTGTGCAAAGTCTGTTTAGAATCAACCGGTTGCAAGTAAACTTATTTCAAGACGTTCTCACAACATTAAAAAGTCACATTCATGTGCCATTAATATCACTGTGCAGTGTCATAAGGTTTATTCATGTAAAAAAATTACCAAAATCAATGGCTTTGTTTTGATCAGTTAGATTCTACAATAACCACGTTCAAGATTTCAGTCATAACTGGGTTGTCATGTTTAAAGAAATGGTATGGAAGGATCATAAAAAACTGGTTAGGACAGAATCTCTGGACAAAATTTACATCCCCTATCACATGCCGTGTTCGTGCATATGCTGAATTCTCTCCATTACCTATTACTGTAGTATACTCCAGCATCACAAACTTCTCAATTGTCTAAAACTTATCATGCTCGTCATGATTTCCTCAAAATATAATAGTTCAGTCTTGGCAAAAAATACTTGTGGGGATGGTCAAAAATTTCACTGTCGTCTCAAAAATCTTAACTTCATGAAATTAAAATAACATTTTCGTGAGCATGAATGCTTCCATTATTATATCATTTACACCTGAAATATTACAATATTACTTCAGAGATTCGAGAGTTCCCAAATATTACTTGCTTCAGGACTTTGAAATTGAGTGTGGGGAACAATAATTCAAAGCTGGAGACAGCCTTGATGTATGGATATCTTTTGAAAAATTGAAGAAAAAAGTCTTTAGCAGACATTTTTCTGCATTATCAGAATCTGTCAGTAGTGAACCCATAAGACTTTAAGGACTTTCTGTGAGATTATTGTGTACCACATACCATAGGTATGGTCTAAAATTCTATTAAGCTACATCCCCAAGACACATGCATCTAAGAACACCAACACACTGGGATTATACTTGTTCCATTCCTTTAAGCCACTGAAGACTGCATGTCTTTTGTGTCATTTGTTAACAGCTTGACTTAAGTCCCTCAGTAACAGTCAAACAGGACTGGAAAATCCCTGCCTCTTTATACGATTGGATCCTACTGATGATTTACTCCTATGAGTATTAATCAACCAATGAAGAAAGGTCTAACATTGTGTGTGGTTCCCCCGAGATTTCGCTGTTTGAAAGCTCCTGCAGCCCTGGGTTAGTTTGGGTGCTCTGAAGAATGCTTGTTTTCTTTACTGCACTCCCGGAGTGTACACAGCTAAATCTCCCCATCTATCATTCAACATCGAGGTGTCATACACAGGTACTACCACAATATATGTCTATTGTATAGACAATGTGTTCAAGACTATCTAGTAGCAAATAAAACTTCTGATTGAAGTTGATATTTAATGTGTGTCTTGCCAGTTTATCATGCTGTCTTGCCATTTGTTATGATTTTGCCACCGAAAGATCTCTTGGAGAACAACCATGATACAGTATAATACATGTAGATGTCTGTTGAACAAATAATAAGTTGAACAATATTTAGTGGCAAATGAAACTTTTTATTTTGTTGCTTCAAATTATCATTCAAGGGGTATGAAAAAGGGCAGTCAGAAAGATGACTGGCACTAAAAATAAAGCCCGTCACACATGGCCTCTTGCCCTTCTCCAAACCATGGTTGGGAGTTAGTTATGAGCAAGGACATCAGTGGTTGGGATTTGGTCAGGATTCCACTAGGTTGTCCACTACTACCAGGAGTCTTTAAATGTCATCTGTACCTGCCAACTTTGGATTTTGACAAAGTTGTATTCTTCTTACATGCAATCAGAGAAAACCTGAGCTAGGAATAGGACAAATTTCGTGCTACTCCAAACTTCAGCTGGTTTGAGTGTAATTATTTTAAGTGGAGTCACAGGAAGTGAGGGGGGAAATGGTGTAACCACGGACAGAAAAGTCCAATGGGGAAGAATGGTCTCCCTGCAATATGGGAGGAAATGACGTCAAATTTGTGGTCAAAATGGTTTTCTAACAGGCTGGGAGAAAGTGACAGTGAAATATGCACAGAATCTGCCAGAAATTCACAATAATCATGAGAAAAAAGAAATTCAAAACTCTAAATACCTCCATGTAGGTGTAAAATCCTTAATTTCTTATTAACTGTTGAGATGGAGATACATAGAATAAAGAAGCTGCAGTGTGTGCCAACTATACCAGGTGCCTCTCATGATACCAACCAGCCATTTTGAAGACTCTTCCTGGTGGCCATTACAGACATCCTAGAATGATAGCACTAAAAACTCCTGCATGCACTACCAACATTCTGTACAAATAAATCTAAATCATAATGAAATCTGTAGACCATATGACTTTACAAGGCACCACGGAATAGACGTCTCAGACTCGGCTACATGTGGAGCGGTGCCACAGTTAGGCAGACTTTACCTCCACCAGCAGATGCCAAGGGCACATGAACTTGACAAAGGAACTAACAGAGCCACCCACTCCCACTTTGATCAAGTGTTTTCCAATGGTAATCAGAGACATCTATACTGAAAGTTGTTATGGACAATTTATTGACCAAGACCAGCTCTTTAAAATAAAGGTCAAGTCTTCATTCTGCAGTGAAATATCAAATGATTTACTAGTATCAATATTTAGTGGAAATGTCAAGTAATGAACATACCTGGTATCGTAGGAAATTTTGTCTTGTCAAGTTTGCAACTGAACCTTCCTTTGGGTTTTCTATTACTGAGTATGTACAACATGTATTTTTTTTTCAATTTAGTGATTTGAATCTATACCACTGTTTTTAACATTTTTGTCCACTGACCAGTATTCTTTATTCCTAGATGCCTAACCTTCATTAACATAGCTTGCAAGAGGGAAAAAACTATGATTAGGAATTGAAGGATGCTGTTATGTTTCACTTTCTTCCCTCCTTTTGCAGAAAATTGAAAATTCACCAACAAACCTTCCATCTCACATCAAGATTCCTTTGAGTCTTTTTTGACACAAAGGGCCAAAGAGAGTTAGTATGCACCACTAACACATACATGGGCTTACCAAAGGGAGGTAATGTTCTCTGTGCCATTGGCTTATGGGCGTGTGTGTGTGTGGGTTTGTGGACAGGATAACTCTGGTGGTTGTGAATGTATTCTGTATGTGGGTGGGTGATGAATCTCAACTATAGGCCCCCTATGGTACTGCAGCAGAACTGCAGTTTTTTCCATATCTTCTGTTTGGCCATGCTTTGATATGGTTCTGGTGGCCCATACTTTGTAGGCTCTGGAAGAAGTGGTTCAGCTGTTTAGACCTCCTAGTAGCTTTTTAACTACATTTGTAGCTTTTTATGCAGGTTTTTTAATTATAGCCTTTTTAGACATTGAAAACAGGATAATGTGAGATGTTGAGTAGACTAACATAACTTTTTGAATGGGTCAATATACCCATGACAATATCTACATAAACAACAGAACATGAATAATTGTGAAATCCCTCCTGATAGGAGAAATAGACTACCAAGAGAGGTGAATTATGCAAATCTACTTTGCATAAATAATGATGAAGACACCTTCTAATTGTCTGACTGCCTTTTATTAACTACAGACATCTTTTGATGTACTATTCAAAATTCCACAGCATTCTGTATCTTCCTGTCACACATAAATATGACTTTGCAATTGAGAGAAGTTGTAGTTTTTCCAATCAGATTGAAGATACAATGTATGCGAACACAGGTATGATCCCGCTTGTTGAAGTGGTAATATATGACTGCTGTGTTGCATAATGCTCACGATTTAGCCTTTTTCCCACTGGCATCTGAACCTACATGTGGTTTTCAATTAATCATTCAATCAGAGTTAACTTGTACACTAAATAGTATCCATCTTTTTTGGAGAATGACAGTTTCATAGCACATTGTGATGAATTGTTCACAACTGTACCACTACTGTCAACTTATATATACGTACAAAACAACACCAAATCATGATTACGTGAATATCTCCCACATTCTGTCAAGGAAGGGCTGTGCAAAATGGATATACAGTAATGAAAAACACACACACATGCAAACTTCTTCGCTGTACTTTACATGGGCCTGCCTCTTCCCCTGCCTCTGGGGGGTGCAGGCCCATCATTTGTTGTACGACTGGGGCTCTTAATTGTTTCATCTACAGACAGAATGAGGCAGCAAGCTTCGGAGGCAGCTGTGATGGCATTGATCTTGACCAGTGACGGTTCCCACACACAAGCCTCAAAGTTGTCCCTGATGTCTTCAGAGTCAATATCAACTCCGTACCATGTGCCTCCTGGAAAAGTTTACTTTCAGTTATGATTTGTCACGAACACTCACAGGGTATCATGTAAGGAACAGTCTGGGAGGAAAGAAAGAGACATAGGCAATGGAAAATATGGGAGGATAGCATGACACTAAGTGAAATGTTAAGAATAACAGAAAACCAAGAAGAGTTGAGAACACTGGTTGACAGATCTTCTGTGGTGCCCAATGGTCAAATTAGACTACAGGATAGATGAGATGAGATGAGACCCAGCAAGGTAAAGGATGACCACCACACCAAGCTTCCAATTTCAAAGGAAAACAAACTTACCTCTGGCGTGCATGTGGCGCAGTTTGTTGAGAATGTTTGTGGCGTCAAACCCGGCGTTCTCACAGAGCTGGCGAGGAATGACTTCGAGACCCTTGGCGAAGGCAGCGATCAGCAACTGCTGCTTGCCAGCGATGGTGCGTGAGTAATCCCTGAGGTGGCGGCTCAGTTCCATCTCGATAGCACCTCCACCTGAACATAAACAAGAAATCAACAAGACTTCAGACCTCCATGAAGTATTTAATACATTTGTAAACTTCTTGTTTGGTTCATTATGAGAATTCTCGTTGATTCTGCATGTGCATTTCCTACTGATTTCCACAAGGCAAAAGACATAAATATGGAAGGAATAACATAACTTTTGTACCATTCTCTTCCTCCAAGCCTCCATCCCCACATTTTGATCTTCAAATTGACATTCCTGTCACTCTGTGGTTAAACAATTTCCCCCTTCACTATCTAAGCTGGGCTTCCTTGTGTTACATACCTGCCACGACTGAATCATGCTTCAGGGCTCCACGGACAATCATGATGGCATCGTGAAGTGAGCGCTCTGTCTCCTCAATAAACTGTTCTGCACCTCCACGCATGATGATGGTGCAGGTCTTGGCCTGGGGGCAGCCGGTGAAGAGATTGTACCTGGACAGGTGGAAAAGAACATCTTGAAATGTGGTGACCATGAAAGTGATCTTGAACCAGATTAGCTCACTGAAGAGCTACTCTTCTACTGAAGAAATTTTTCCTAAATATCACAGAACATAACTGATTTAGAACTGTAGTTTTTATTTTAGAAGCTGGACAGAAAGACTTACCTCTCTCCTCCTACTTGGCGCTCCTCAAACATTTTACATTTCCCCAGCACATCTTCTATCAGGTTGTGTACTGAAGTCTGGATGGACCCCCCACAGGCTTTCATGGTTCGCTTTAAATCTTCCTCTGGGACACGCCCTGCACAGAACATATCCCTGCAACACACAAATTAGCTCAGTGCTGGCCTCATCATAATGTGAAGCTACATGTGCCTCAGTCTATAAAACAGTTGATGATTTATCTCTACATCAGGCTACAGGCGTAAACAGCGAATGTCAGTCATTAATGGCACAAACCACCAGCCTGCTGACTACGACTTTAACCTGCAGGAAAGTAACATACAGAATGATGGTATTGGAGTTGTGATAAATATTGGTCATATCTTTGTCGTATGTTTCAATGATTGCTCAAACACAACATGACTGGGTAAAGCTTCATTTTACAACCAACTAGGAAGCATCAAAACATTTGGTACAAATGTTATGATACATCGTTACTTCTGGGTAAATAAGTATCATTTTTGGTAACTGAGCTGTGAGTGGGTGTATCTGTTTGTTTGAGAGTAGGTTGATAGCATACGGGTAGAAGGAAGATTGACAGGCAAAATGGCTGGTCAAAGGTTGCAGGAATTCAGGAAGCCAAGGATTGCATACTTCCCAAAGTCTAGAATCTCTACTTTCTTGTTTTTCTATGTATTCAAATCCAAACATTCCTATGTCTTCTGTTTAAGCACATACCTGTCTGCAAAATACTGTGTGGCCACATCACCAATAGGCAGCTTGGACAACACCACCTTTGCTCCACTCTCGTGGATCTTCTCTAGTTTCTGATACAGGATGTTCCACTCTGCATCAACAATGTTCTGATATTCCTATAGGGAGAGCAATCAACAGTTTAGCTCTGTGAAGACCATGATAGGGCTGGCACACAGAGTATGTTAAAAAAAACCTGACATAGTGTTTAACTTTGAAAAATTGCAAAGTAAACAAGTGATGCAACAAACTGCAGGTTTTATCATTTTTTCTGACACATTTAAAAATGTCAAGTATATGCTGTATACCTAAGTGTACAATAGTACCTTTTCTGTACATAATACTATACGAATATCTCTATTCATCAGTGCACAGTCCAAAATTAGGTGCTCAGCTCCAATTTTAGGTGAACAAAATTTGCATATGTACCAAGGCTAGAGATAAGCCATGTAATGTGTTACCCACATTCTTGTGAGCATCTGTTGTATAGCCCTTTTCTCACCTCTACTGTGTCAACTCTGACTTCAGCGTTCTCTTTCTCAGATTTCAGCTCCAGCTCCACATTAAGGAGGGCGATCAGCGGGCTCTCGTACTTCTTGGGCTGCATCTCAAACCCAGCATAGGAGAACGTCTTCTTGAAGGCCACTCCTTCTACTAACATAGTGTCCTGCACACAATATAAAGGGCAAATTTAAAAAAAAATCATATTCACAGCCTGAGGATAAAGAAAATGTTAACTGCTATATTTATTATGGCTGACTTCAAGTCAACAATAGATTAATTCTAATTCAAGTTCATGAAATTTGTGCGAGCCATAATGTTGTTATTATAGTTACACAAGGTTTTTAAATAAATCACTGTAACACAATATGTACAGAATGGATCTATGCTGGAAATACTTCCCTACTGCAGTCGTTCCAACAGTCGTTCAAAGCTTTACGGCATGGTCACATTTTGTGTTGAAGAATTTTCAAGTAGGTAGTGACAGAATCAACTGTCCAAGATCTAAGAGTTTTTTTCCATAACTGACCATGCTTTGCAATCATGACTGCGCCCTTAATTCATCAGTTCAGGAAAAAACAATTATTGAAGAACCAACCTCCAGCCCACCACCGGTAACTTTCTTCATCCCGATCATGTTGACTGGCAGCAGTTCGTCCAACATCATCACCGCATCTACAACCATCTTGGCAAAGAAAACTTGTTGGTGGGCGATCAGCTTAGAGCTCAGGGCAGTCGCTGCACATTTCTCCAGTAGCCTGCGCTGCTCACTAAACACAGGATACAAAAACACCTCAATAAGGCTTCATTTTTTCTGATTTGCAACAGAAAAAACATGAATATTGCTTGAATTTTAAACATTATATTACTAATACTTGCCATAACGTAGCCAGTCATGAAATCATTGGACTTACCCAGGATCGTCTCGTTTCACCTTTATTTCAATCTCACGAATTTTCTCAATGGCCTGAAAAACAATACAAATTTCCAGCATTAGTAATTTTACAGGGTTAAGGGTGCGACTGAAAAAAACAAATGAACACTCATGGATATATTTGTTTCGTGATGAAAAATGTGTAGATCCCACCATAAAATGACAACCAGCAATGGAAAAACAGATTGCCCAGGCACTGTGATAGAGATTTCCCGCCATGTTTTAATCAAAAAGAGGCTGTATTCCCTTCTCACGTTACTGCTCGTGAGACTTGGATGATGCAATAGGATTTCAGCGATTGGCGAATAGTAGGTCGCCATATTGATTTTTTTCAGGCAGCATTAGCCTTCAAAACAACAAACTGACAGCATGGATCAGTTCGACAATAATGTACCATCTAATTTCAAAATTCCAATTTAGATAATATCTACTTTCAATTAACATAACCACACTATTATAACTCTGCAATATAGATTATCAAAATGGCAATCACAATTACAACTATAAATTGTCTACGATTTCAACATATATTGGATAATCATAATATTTAATACTGTTGTTAAAATTAAAAATGAGTTTTACAAGGAGAGTTTTTTTACAATATTTCACAGGTCTAACACTACACTAACAGCAGACCAATTGATCAAAGTAACTCAAGTCACACACATTCAACAGAGATAAGCATGTTACAAGCAGAAGATACATAAAACAGTAAAGCTATATAATTATTTACTAATGTATGTGGAAACATTCCCTTCCCAAGCCTTTCTGTTTCAAGTACCCAACTACTATTACCAAAGAAATTTTACATGTGCTTCATTAAGTACAAACTCAGAAGAGAGTATATTTCTGGTTATTTCATGGGCACAGGACTGTTCACAGCCTGAAGGCAGGTCAAACAGCTTTATTAGAATCTGGATGTGTTGACATGTTCATTAACCCTGGCCCTGAGGCTGATGAAGGGCTGATGATTCCTAAACAGCACTGGTCAAGTCAGCAGGCGATTAACTACAGCAGAAATGTCAGTGGGGTTAGGCACTCATTAGCCACCTCTGAAATACTTTGACATTTAAGTGTAAAAAAAAGACACAACCTTGTTATATTACTCATTAAAAATTTGGCAGTATAGAATCAAGATTCCATCTCTGTGGAGAAGCTGGAAGCTTTGCTGACATTATCCTTCAAAATTACACTACACTGGTGCACCATTTGCAAAAAAATAATTTCCAGCCCTGTCCTCTAACTCTTTCTAGGAATAATGTACATTATACTGTAAATACTAGGGTATCTTGTAATTGCAGCTACAAGTAACATTGATCTGACCAAGGCCTCAGAAATATTTTGGCTGTAGTCAAACTCTCACATAGGGACACAAACATGCTAGACAGGAGTGCTGAATAGCAATGTTTTATACTCCATTATTATACTGCTGGACGTACAACTGGGACATGTGATAAACCCCAGGATAGATACGATGTGAAACAAAATGAGAAAATTTGCTGCACTTCTATCAAACATCTTCATTTGGTAGGGAAAAAGATAAATGATGGTTTGTGTTATCTGGGGAACGCACGGTTTGATGGTGTGCGGAGATAAGTGCCGTACAAATGAAACACGAAAGTTACAGCTACTTTGGGATCTGATCATAGTAAAAGGCAACTGTGGCAGGGCTGAAAAAATACATTTTTCCTGTTTAATACTTGCATTATTGCAAGCGATTGGAAATTCTACCTGCAATTTGGACGAGCTCATAGCTAATATATACCCAAGTCAAAATCACCAAGGGGTGATTTTGTTTGAAACTCTGAAGCAGGATGTGATCTAAGAGATACATTTTCAAAATTATGTTTTACTCGTATTGCTCTTGGTGCAGATGATACACACTCATGGTGAAACCCCTGTCCTTGGTGCTGAACACCATCCACTCACAGTGAAACAAACCTGTCCTTGGTGCTGAACACTAGTACCTTCAGCATTATAAATTATATATAATGTAGAAAAAACTCGTAACAAAGTGTTGGAGGCTGTGATGACTGGATTCCATCTGAGAATCCTGAGCTTCTATTGGACTGATTTTCATCCTGATCTCCGGGTAGTTCTGGGATCATTCTCTGGAGTTAGAGGTGAAAGCCAACAAGCTTCTGGGGAGGAGACCCAGCCAGCCCCTGACAATGGGAGATTGTGTAACACAGGCCACAGATACTACAGAATATATGAAGGAAAGGATTGGTATGCAGTGACCTACCATTGACGCAGCGGTGCGGACACTCTTGCAGATGATTTGAGGATGGACTGCCTCCTCCACAAATGGTTTCATCTGCTTCAGCAGCTCACCTGATAGCAGTGTCACAGATGTGGTGCCATCTCCAATCTGGAAAACCAACAGGGCTGCCAGTTAACACAGTATAACCCACACCTATATGAACTTGAATATAAGGCTTTAGTTAAAGTATCCATTTCTAGTTGGTTTGAAGCAGACTAGCTCATCAACTACTTGTGTCAAATTGCTTGACAGATCCAGATTGAACACAAGAATTAGACAACATTCAGTGTGTTTTCACCCTGATCCACACCGAAATGGATTTACCTTAAGGTAATAAGTACAGAAGGGTGGCTGGTGATTTTGGGGATATTGAGTAATCTTGTTTTATTCTCAAGCACCTTGCTTGAGAATTGTTATTGAGAATTCTTATTTATTCATGTAAAGTTTTTTGCCTTATGACCATTTCTAGAAAAATCAGCTACAATTAACACTACATTACATTACAGTGATATTGATAAATAACAAGTTTCAAAATTTTATTTGGGGGCTACTTTTTCAATAATTTTAATTAATCTACCTTTTACTGTCATGGATTTACACAAAGTTGCAATGTGTTTGACAGTAAACCTCAGAAGAATGCTCTTGAATTTAAGTTAAAATGTTCAGTTTTTCTTTGAAAATCACCTATGCCAATATGGTTAAGGTAATATACTAGTGCCTTGAGGTAGAAAAAAGCCTTCATTCAATCGAATCATTGGCATATTTTCCCACGATTTTGGGTCGCTGCATGACCATTTCTAGCTATAGGGTACTCAGTGACCTTTACTGTTGTGATATCGTAGTACAATGCACGATTTTGTCATCAGGAGACTCTGGAGGGAGGGATACTGAGTGAATGGAAGAGCCACGCCTGATCACTGATAAAAACCAGATCACTGGTAAAAAGATGGCCGCCATATTGCCATAAACAAGACCAATGTTCAAAGCAAGATCAGGCTACATGTGGGGGTACCTTAACTTAAGGCCCTTAGGACAATGTCCTGTTAAATGATGTAACAGAATTTCAGGTAGCACACCATAATTATTATTCATAATGGGCTACACTAAGTCCCATACATTGGAGGGGGTGGTATTCAACTATTTTATTTTCTGTAACAACATTTCAAGTTGTCAGCGACTGAAAAAAATGTCCATTTCATACACTATGGTCCTTGTCACCCTGCATGAACAGGACCAACTCTCGAGAAATGGTAGCAAAGAGGTGTCTATATAGGACATGACATGCTAGAACAGCCTGCCACGTCACAAAACACCACGCTATTGCTGTCCCACAAGTGTAACACAGAGACGGCTACTGAACACAGCTATCTCGCTGACTACTTGTGGTAATTACCAATTTCTATAAAGATTTTTTTCTACTATGAAATGCTGAAAAATGCATTAAATCCAAATGAGCAATATGCAAACAAATATTTTGCTCCCTCTACAATGAAAGAAAGCTGGGTCACTGCTAGCTTACTGGAAACATGGAATTATAGAAAAGGCTATAAAAATAATAATCTTGACTAAACGTCTGCTTGAAGAATAGTCACTGTTGTTGTTGTTGGCCTCTTCTTCGTATCCGAAGATGTAGGGAAGTCAGTCCTTCATGTGGCTGCAGGCCTTCATGAATAGTCACTACTACATCCGTAAATACCAAAAACCATGTAATCCCTTTCCTAGCTTGTAGATAATATTCCAATACCAGGCACAATCCACCGTTCTTATGGGATGATGATACTGTGGACCCATTCATAATTTTGCACAAACACATTGCAACCTGGCAGGGACATTTTTTTAGCAAAAGGGGAAAGTCCCTGCATCATTACCACAGTTAATCCTAACACACATCCAACCTTACATCTTAACCTCCTAATTCTGCTTCACCCCTGCTGCAGTCGGCAACATGGCCCAGGGGAATTGCTGGATGTCAGGGAAACAGATGAAACCTGAAGCATTACCTATGAGGCGCCAGACAGAATTGATCTGAGTATGATACCTTAACTGCATCATCACATCTCTCCCACCTACAATCGAACCCTATCAGCACAATTGGGTAAACTAGACGCTGGCGTGGGCAGGGAACCCTCAAAAATCAAATAACACAACAACAAACCTAGTTGACTGCTTGGGTCAATCAATAGGTGGGGGGCTGTTGTTTTGGTTTCCCTGTGGTCAGCAACTTCAATTACAACTACAGTTGGTTTTCTTAGGAATTCCCTAACCTTCTCTTTTAGACCAAAGAGAAATGATTTCTCATGGTACCATTTTTCGTTTTAAAAGCATGGAATTTTGAAGTAGTAACATTTCCAAAACATTTGTAGTCTTTTTCAGCAACAAAATTTAAGTGCTGATACACAATTCCACCTGTGCAATGAATTTGATGATCATAGTCCTGTGATCATCAAATTATTTGTATGAATCAATGTATTCCAAAGGAGTACAAATAATTGACAAGAAACAAACTCTGCTGGTAAAATCAATCATGTCTAAAATTACGGGATAATAGGGCAGAAAAAGAAAAACAAAAGACATTATATATACCAGTATCTAAACTATGATTTCACAATGTCATACCTTTCCCAATCAAGTGACAGTCAGTTGTTTAAATAATTATCAGTTTGACAGTGTACATGTATCTATTTTATTTATTGTCAGTCATTTGTCTAAAAACAACTAATTTGTTACATTGAGATTGCCACACATTACAACTTACAAGTTTTCCTAGAGGTCAGGATTACACAAAAAGGCCCATCATTAAACTTGCACTCTTCATCACTGCCTACAGTATTTTCAGACATAGTATTATTACATGTGTGTAAATCCCAATATCCATCATTACAGCATTTTTTTGAAAAAATATACATATAATACTTGTTTCTGAAGTGCACTGTTACTCTGTACGAATTCTAATCAAATGGTTTGACTATAAGCCACCGTGGTGTTGCGATGTCATATCCACCAACATCAATTTACAAGTGAACATTCAACAATCTTACCTCTGCATCTTGGGACCTGGCAATATCGACAAGTGTCTTGGCAGCTGGATGGACGATGTCCAACAACTTGATGATAGTGGCACCATCATTGGAAATGGTGGCCTTGTCTGAAAAAATAAAATATCAGATTAGGAACAATAGAATAGGTAAACTAGTAAACTTTTAGTACAATAGTATACGAAAGGTAAAATGTACTGTTAGTTCAATTTCAATCATCATTTAAATTCAATAGTTTTTAATACTCAAAGGTTCATTAGATAGTATCATTTTAGTCAAACTAATAAACTTATAAAAATACTATAGTTTATAGAAAAATTTATATCATATTACAATACAATATGAAAACAAGTCAAGCATGCCACAACTTTCTTTTGGGGAAAGTAAACCTATAAACTTGTGAAGCACAACCTCTAGAACCTCACTTCCTGAATTCCCCCAGTGTCGACCACTAACCATTGAGACCTTAACTTATTAGTATTACCTTCATTTCCTGAGACTGACAAGTTTTGACTATGTGTCATTCTGCCTGTCAATCTCCCCCACCCACTTGCTGTCAACCTACTCTTTAGACAGGCATACACAATCCTGCATATAACCCACTAGAAACAACTCGGCAGTAACTAAGTAACAAGTGCATCTAAAACTTACCCCTTTTGTCTACTATCATCTTGTCCATACCCCTGGGCCCCAGGGTGGTCCGGACAGCATCCACTATGACTTGACAGGCATTGATGTTACTGACAATCTGTGGGATACCCTGGGAGGTATCTGTCCCCTCCTTCAGTAGAATGATTGGTGCATTCTGAACAGAAAATCAAGAGGTCAGATTTTACCAAAAAGTTTAGGTGGCACAGAAAAAATTTTAGTGTACAAAATAAGATCGAGCCCTAATCATTAATTAGAGGAGGGGTGAGTGGGGAGGGGGGTGCACGCATCGTTGAGTGGGGAGGGGGGCACGGTCAACTGCAGCATTTGTTTTCACACCTCTTTGTTGACAAAAATTATGTGTGGCACAAAAGAAATCTTCAATTCCTTATACGACGTTTCTGTTGTTGACGATATACTTGCTTAAAAATTCTTTTATGCTTTTACACGCACCAAATTACTTTGAACAAGAAAACTCATGAGCGGACTCATGAGTGAGACCCTGTAACCAGGCAGGACAAGGAGTGTAACACACAATCAAGTAAGAAACTAATCGCCGACTTCGGTATTCATGCGCTATAACTTATGCATCAATATCCATGATGGTACTGCAATGAGCGTATGAAAAAACAAGGATGATCAGTACATTTCGGAATAAAATAATACGGAGTGTGAGGAACATGCATAGTAACAAGAAACATACCGGCTACACGCAACTTTTGAAGGTAACCTACGTCTATAACAAGTCATTAAATGGGTCAAAATAACAGTCATAACCTTGAATGATCGTCTGAATATCTGTTTCTTTTCTTGGAATTAATTTTACTACCGTTAGAGTGGCGGATGGTGAGGGATAGAAATCTTACCATGGTCCCAGCTCCCTTCGTCGTCCGCTGTCAAAATGGCGACTTTACCCACCGTGCTTTGCGCGATCGTCTAGAATGTTCGCCAGTGCAAGGCGAGAATTTTCGAGAATGGCGCGAAATTCAAACGTTTCGGATTATATCGGCCTTATTTAATTCGGATGTTTGGGATAATCCCAACAGAAATATATTTACTCTTTGAAGAAAAGGCGTAAAGAAATGATTGATGATTGGCATGTATTATCATTGTCATTCACATTTATGCACAGTCTATAATTTTATTAGATGAATCATAACGTTATGTCTATTGGTAAAAGACGGGAACTTGGCAATTGGCACTTAAGTAATCAAATGTGGCATTTGGCACTTTATCAAATGTGAAAACATAATTTAAGTCAGACATATATTATGCAATTCATGACTTTATTTGCCTCCTTTTTGATGGAGCAGACCATCATGGTATACGGTGGGGACCTTATTTGCATAATCGATGAAAACCTTTACGTCAGACATAAAGGTCAGCGTTATTGGCGAATGTATGAGATCGCTGAACTCTAGGCCACGCTCACGCAATCACTAACCTAGGACTTTTTTCATTTTTTGTCTTTTTTTTCGTTTCTTTACAGCAGAGGGCCCAAACGCATACTAATAAAACGAAAAAAAAAATCTTTCTTGCATGCCGTTCCTCACCGTCACTTTCTGCAGTACTTTCTGCTTGTTTCACTTTGAGAGTCGAAAAGATTATTCCTTGGGAAACGATGTCAAGAAATTTGACGATTGCTTGTGTTTTATACATATATTAGGTATACAATGAGCATACGAGAACAAACGAATATTAATAAAACGAAAAAAATCTTTCTTGCATGTCGTTCCTCCCCCTCACTTTCTGCTTGTTTCACTTTGAGAGTCGAAAAGATTATTCCTTGGGAAACGATGTCAAGAAATGTGACGATTGCTTGTGTTTTATACATATATTTGGTATACAATGAGCATACGAGAACTCGTCTGTCGACTCGTAGTAATGGAAACCTATATATCAGCGAGCAAGGCAAAATTGTTCTAATGATGAAAAAATTCCATGTGAAGTTATCTCACAAAGACATGCCACTGATGTGGACGGCCTGTGTGTACAGAAGTAGGTAACATAAAAGCCCATGAACCTTTGAATTCACTTTACCGCGCACCTCAGCCTAGTGTTAGGCTCTCCAATAAAGAATACCCTCGCCAGCAATCAAACCGACATTATTTTTCTGTTGCTGTTCTCAGCAGAACTGCCTCGCCTGATCCTACCGCTATGTGCACACTTCCGGTACGCCCGCACCGTAGGTTCGATCGTATCAGTCCAGACAAAAAGTACGCCTCCCGAGATACCATCCAGCTTTCAAGAAGGCATCAAGGACATTCACGGAGCAATAACCAGATTGTATCTGACTAGCGTTGCCCGGCAGGCACTCAGCCACCAACGCGCTTGTAAAACACATGAATAAACGGTCCTCAGCACGCGTCATCACACTCAGCCCGGCTCAGCTCCTGCGGGCAGATGACTTCTGTGAGAGGAGCTGTGTTTCTTTTCTCTTTTTTTTCACGTAGCGCTGTATTTTTTCTTACCTGCGGGCCCCCAAGAGGACTGCCCTGACATGTAGGGCGGACGGAGGACGGCTTGCTCACGGCTGGAAATTTTATTATATCGAGCAATCAAGAAGGAAACTGGTTACCGGTCACAGAGAACTGCTAGAGGAAAATCTATGCGTAATGATCACGCGAATATTTTTGGGCCATCATTAGGATCGATTGCTCGGAATTACGCCGCTTTTCACACCAAGATGCTTATGGTAATTGGTTGGATTAAGGAGCTCCACTTGCTGGATCCCCGCAAAATTCTTGCCGTCGTAAAAGTAATACTTCCGGGACTGCTCGAAATCCCAGGAAGATTTCTCTCGGCGACCCGCTTGACAATGATGATGGAAGGGCACGGAATACCTCCGAGTTATTGTAGGCTCAACTTGTGAAACAGGGCCCTTGTGTCCTTGATTATAGTTCACTACACCGAGAGAAAAACGGGGTGCTACGAGCGGCTTAAGTGCGTGCAATAAGCAGAATTAAATAGTTTACAGCACTTGTTACTTGGCGCAACGGGTAGTGTCTTTCACCCCGATGTGGCGAACGATGGGAAGATATGTGGTGCAACTGTAGCAAAGTGCCATCCAAAAGAAAAATAGAAAATATACAAGGAAAGTAAAACAACTAAGGCAATAGAATTAAAATACAGCAGCAAACCAACTACTGAAGTTCTGCTTTAGTTGTTAGTTGAGGCACGTCGGCATGGATATTTGCAACGGTTCTCACGGTTTTTATTTGTGCAGCATATCTCAAGAAATCATGGATGGATTGTTCGAAGAAATATTTAGATTAGCATCGGTATTACAACAGAACGTATGGTTTTTGTACCTCGTGTCTTGAACGTGCTATCGTCATGCTTTTTGAGTGACCGGTGGCTTTTGGGCGTCGAAAGTATGTAGGTTTCTGCGACCTGACTGCTTTTCTGGGAACTGCAGGTGCATTGTGTTTGGGACTTCAAAACAAGATAACTTAGAAGGGATGAGTGGATGTACTGACTTTGATGACTAGCATCAATAGATCATTTTTTATTAGTAAGGAAATTGAAATTGTACAATATGCAAAACATCCTCAGTCGTTGACTAACCAATGACTTAAGAAAATAAATAGGTGTTTTCCCTTTCAAGAAACTATTCCTATGTCCTATTTGTATCTCTTTTGCCTTACTAGTATATCGGTATCACACCGTCAAAATGTGTGCATTCATTAAGTATTCCTGACAACCTATCACAAGGCTAATCAGATAACAGTTGATTGTCTAATGCATATTTCCAACAGCGATACTGTAAAGGTTGGTACGAGTTATGAGAAGGCCCTTGCCTTATGGCGCACGTGCACACATCGTGTTGAGTGAGTCTTGAATTTTCGCGGACTGTCAGCAGGGGAGGACTGGGAATAGCGTCCTTGACAGTCTGCGGGTCAGCTGGGTGAAACCAGGCATGTTGTATCATATGAACCGCTGTGCGCATGAGAGAAAAACTAGCAGTTGTAAGTTCCTTTTATAGTTCTCAGAATTAATCATAGAAGCTTATGCAACTTCCATAGTGTCTTGGGGATCAAGTTGTTGCGCTCAAACTGGTGGTTCCAATTTGTGTCCAGCCCTGATAAATCGACGTGTTTCGCTGGCTATTACAGGGCTGCAAACGATCCTGTACCTGTTCAAAACTTCACGAAAATGTTTACGAAAGCATTTTCTGTCGCAGGACAGACAGGTGAAATTCCCAAAACTCAACGACGACGACGAATTTCTACATTTTGTGTCCTGGACTTGCCATACAACGTAAGGGAGATGGGCTTTGCTTGTGTATGGATTGTGTCCAGCACCAGGGACATGTATGTTTGTGCGCGGATAGTGTTCAATACCAAGGACATGTGTGTTAACTGTTAACCTTTATATTAGTAGTGGACATGTCAGTTCGACTGTGTCAAAGGTGTTCAGCACCAAGGACAGGTCTGTTTGACTGTGTGAATAATGTTGAGCACCAAGGACAGGTCTGTTTGACGACTTTGTGGATAGAGTTGAGCACCAAGGACAGGATTGTGTGACTGTGTGGATGGTGTTCAGCACCAAGGACAGGCGTATTAGACTTTGTGGATAGAGATCAGCACCAAGGACAGGTCTGTTTGACTGTGTGGATGGTGTTAAACACCAATGACAGGTCTGTTTGACTGTGTGAATAATGTTCAGCACCAAGGACAGGTCTGTTTGTGTGGGTGGTGTTCAGTACCAAGGACAGGTGTGTTTGACTTTGTGGATAGAGTTGAGCACCAAGGACAGGATTGTGTGACTGTGTGGATGGTGTTCAGCACCAAGGACAGGCGTATTAGACTTTGTGGATAGAGATCAGCACCAAGGACAGGTCTGTTTGACTGTGTGGATGGTGTTAAACACCAATGACAGGTCTGTTTGACTGTGTGAATAATGTTCAGCACCAAGGACAGGTCTGGTTGACTGTGTGGATGGTGTTCAGCACCAAGGACAGGATTGTGTGACTGTGCGGATTGTGTTCAGCACCAAGGAAAGGCTTATTAGACTTTGTAGGTCTGTTTAACTGTGTGTATGAAGTTAAATTGTGCGGAGAACAGGTCTGTTTGTGTCAATGGTGCTCAGCACCAGGGGCACTTCTAGATCTGTTTAACCGTGCGGATGTTGTTAAGCACCATGGACAAATATATCAACTTTTGTGCCCACACGTCAGTGTCGTCTAACGGGGACAGTAGCAACAGACCCCGACCAGGATCCGAGTCGCCCACCTCTGTGCCTGCGTTAATTGGACCCATGTGGGCAAACAACGGAATCGATAAACCATCGGGCCACAGTACGCGTCAAATATAGGGGGTCTTGGCTAAGAAAAGTTACTATAGATTGATTGTTTTCAAAAACATCACAACGTCATTCAAAGGGCTACTGGGCCCATTAGCGTCTTCTTTTGAATTGCAGATGTTCGTATCGTTCGTTCTGAACATGTTATTGTTACAGCAGCTTTCGATGGAAGTGCAGCTGGTTTGAATAGAACGTTACATGATAAATCAGAAATAAGAGTGCCATGTTGGAGAGATCTAGAAAGAGAGAGGGGGATAGAAGGAAGAAAGAAGGGGCTGAGGGGTGAAAGGGTATATTGCATAGCGTGGGTCATGTGACAACCACAGCACACGTAAACCCTATTAGACGTGGCAGTTAGTCAAGGTTAGACACGTCTATCTAGATCACATTGCCGAACTCTGGGGAAACGAGCTGCTGAGTAGGCTTACCACACCACATATGGCGCCACGCCGGTCTGGGCGCGTCTGTATCCGTTATACACGCATCTCGCCTGATGATATAAAAACAGTGATTTCGACTTTGATGTGCCACCCGCACATAGACTTGAAATGATGTATTTATTAATATTTCATGCCGCTTTTTTTCTATTATTGGGACCCTAGGGAGCAGCCTTTGTGCAGATGGCTCGTTCCCAAAAGGCGAAAATAA